TGAATATTTTTTGCTTATCCTCTTGCTGATAATTTTCAAGATAGTCAAAAGGTACTTAATAATGCTCAGAATGTGTTTAATTTTAAAGCTGAATGTTTCCGGGAGAGTGTTAAAAAGTAGGATTCGTATAATTCTTGTTCTTCCTCATGCACTGAATTTCCAAGGTGCTCATGAGTGTTTTATACTAGTATTAGAGCGCGTTTGTTAAATACCTAGTGACCGGTGAAGATTGTCAGGACTTAAGAGATATTCTATTTTGGCTCTTTTGCACGCAACGACTTTACAGATATCCTTTCTGGAGATACTAATGAAATTCTCTTGATTTCTTCTTATAAAATCTGTTAGATATCTATAAATTTTTAATCCTAGCCTCAAAGCATGCTTGCCGAATAGCTAGTAACTAGATATGTAAATTACGATCTTAGAGATATCGTTTTTCAAGAAACTAAATAATTTCTTCTTATATAATCTTTGAGATACTTATGAATGTTGAATCATAGCTTTAGAGAGTGCTTGATAAATAGTCAATGACTGGCTATTATGCAAGCCACGACTTTAGAGATTTTCTTTGTTCAAATACTAAGGCAATTGTCTTGATTTCTTCTTACAAAATCGTTAAGATACTTATGAATGGCTAGTAACTGTAACCTTTTTTGAAAGTCCAAGCAATTCTCTTAATTTTCTCACATTAAATTTCGACTGCATGTGGACTGACCTTAGATAAGTGTTTTTGTTTGCCACGTACTTGTTGGACTCTTAAACAGCACTATTCTCCAAAAACATTATACAGGTGGTTGTAAGTATTCTAATACTATATTCTCAACTTGTTAGATCCGCATTTTCCATACATCTTATTGTGGAATCAACCTTAAATATTCACTAAACACGATGCTTGTGTAATTTAGCACAGTCAGACAATCCTGATCAACATTTTACCTTATTCAAAAGTACATATATATATAATATGGTGTTTAATTATATTTTCGATATATCTCAGAGTAAAGTACTTAATCCATTAAATACACTATAGTTATACCAAAATTTTTTCGTATTCCATATGTATCCACATATTTAACTATAAAATATTAAACTTTTGATTTATACTAAGAAAACAATTTCATTAAAAGTGAAATATGTGAGTTTTATTTTATTTAATATAATATGGGAGTACGAGTATATGCACTATTTATTCGCAAGCCAACTTTATGGGTTCCAATGGAATAATTCTCAAATGCTGAAAGCATCAATTCAATTATCCTTTTGTTCAACGTCAATGTCATTTTCTTAAGTGTTTTGTGTTTTAGTAGAAAAACATTTATAATTTTGGTGTCCTTTTTATTGTCGTTAGGTTAGAGGTTAGGTTAGAGAATCCATGAAACTGAAAAAAAAATTATTTTTATAAAAGATTAAATAAATATTTTATGGGATATATTTGGTTTTCATGTGTGTTTGTGCGAATATGCAAATTTGAATGGAACCCTTTCACTACTTATTACTTTTTGCAATAAATTACACTTTATACGTTTTATGTCAGATTTTATCCTTTTTCTCTGAGTTTGCTAAGCAAATAAATATTTCTGCTCATTTAAATTTTTGCTGATTTCCACAAATTCATTTCATTTCATTTCATATCATTTCAATATATTTGTTTATCATATTTTTTGGTATATATATTTTTTGGTGCAATTGAAATTGGTCAAAATTGATAATAAAATATATTTGCAAGTATTCACATACACTGTGGCTATATACATATATATTTGTATATCAGATAAAAATAAATTTTTTAATATTTTGCTTTTTATTACAAAAATATTTCTTAGTTCAATGATGTGTGAAAGTCTTTTCAAATTGCTTGGAAAATTTATATCTATTTCGAACCCACAAGTCAATAATTGATTTCGAATGCAAATGGTAAGAGTTTGAACTAAAATTAAATAAATAAATTTTCTTATTATTTAATTTTTATTTACATATATTGCTTTAATTAACTTATTTATTAAATTGTATTTAATTTAAAAATTTTTGTTTATAATATTATTCCTTTTTATCGTTACATAAAATCAAAATTTTTTGTTGATTTTTCAAAGAGAATATAATTTCGAAATATATTCATCATAGGCAATGAGTTTGTAGGAGCATGATTCATATATGAACACTCTGAAGTGATTTGGTACTTTGGTACACACAAACTATGCCAAATAATTGGTGCCAATCTACATTTACTCAAGACGTGCTTGAGCTACGAGCCAATCTTCCTTATAGCTAACCTATATTTCCCAACACAGCCTAAGATGTGCTTGAGCTACTAGCCCATCTTCCTTATAGCGAACCTATATTAGTCCACATGGCCTAAGATGTGCTTAAGCTACGAGCTAAACTTTATTAATTAGTATGCAGAAAAAGTATTCCTTCATATATTACTAGATGGATTGATAAACACACACAGTGATAAAAGCGCATTTTTTTTTTTGGAAAATTATATTTTATGCTTCAATATAACTTTTAGCTCGACTTTTCGCGTCCAGCGATCTTCCAATTTTTGGATACATTTTAAAAAATATGATTATGAACGATTATAAACTGCTCCAAACTGTACCTCAATTTCTCATTCCACTTCATTATTTGATACAAATCCTGGTATCCCTGGAGTCATCTTTTCAAGTTTGGAAACTGGTAACAGGCACTGTGAGCCAAACCGGCAGAAATCTGGTGGGTTAGGAAGCAATTCGTATCGTAATTCATTTTATATTGCCGTGATTTTCATTGACGTGTAAACGAGTACAGAAACAAAATTTTTTCTTGGACAAATGTGTTAGTTTATTTTAATTTTGTCATTTAATCAAAAGATTTTTCAATCAGAACAAAACACTTATCAAGATCGAAGATAATTGATTTTTCGCACAAATTAGATTATTAGTATATTAAATAAGAACATTAGTAAGATCTTAACTTTAACGTATGGGCAACTGGGTGGTTAGATATGAAATTTAAAGAAATTAATAACACATCCTACTTGGATTGTTGGTTGGGTAGGGTATGGATGCATCTCGATGGCGTATAAATGTTGATTTTTCTTCTGGTTAATAGGTGTCGCTTTCAAAAAACTTCAGCCATCTTGTAATAAAGCAATTTTAAACAAAAAATATCTAAGATTTGCATAGAGAATATAAAAAAATATATTATAATTGCGAGGGTTGGAAATACATGGAAATGGACTTATCGTTTCTGTAGAGATAGTCTTTAAGGTAGCGTTAGAAGCCATTGGAGAGCTTTTACATGAACAAAAAATTGTTCTTATTTATTTAGGATAGTAAATAACTAAATCTTGCACATTAATTTTTCTTGCACTCAGTAAAAACTAATAAATAATAAGTTTTTGTCTAACATTTTGCAATATTTCATGCCTTTTATTATAAATTAAATATAGAATATTTATAAGCCATGTCATACCATTTATTAAGACTTTAAAGTCAATGTTTTAACTTCATTATATCAAATACGAATTTTAAGCACTTTGATTTATATATTTTCCGAAAATATTTACAGAGCAGGACATTCGTTAGATGAGAATTAATATAACAAATTTATGAATATAGCAAATTCAAGGAAGCTGTAAAACTTAAGATTTCAGTTTTCAACAAATTTGTGAAAATTTAGTTAGGTTTTGTCA